CAGGAAGACTAGAAATTATCTTGCTACTGGCAAGTATGTGTATTTGATTGTCACTAACCAGTTAGGCAAGAATTTGTGCACACACACATTTGACTTGTGCCCCTGTGCAAAACACCAGTTGTAAATGAATAATTCATCAGTGTAACCCACTCAAATGTTGAATGATCTCCAACTCAAGTTCTGAAGATTAAGAGGGGAAAAAAACATAAGTGGAGCTAGTAACACTTACAGTTCAGATTGCCAGCCATTACCCAATATGAGACCTTTGTGTCAGAGATGCATGTTTTGTTATCTCTGTGAAATATGTAACCAAGATAAAAGTCTCTGGAAAAGAATCCTAGAGTTTGCAAAAATCTTTGTTAGTGCATGCCACCTAAGACTCTACCACCTACACTGAATATGCTCTATGGCTACACAAATCCTAGGTTTTGACCACACTGTACACCCAACACGTGTAGGCCAGAGAAGAGACATAGGCTGGGACAAGGGAAAAGTAGAAGGACTCAAAAACAGAGGATAAGAGCATGGGCAGAGTGGAGGCAAAAGATGAGAACAAGAAAAGAAGGGGACAGGGACAGAAGGGACTACACCATTACTAGAGCACTCTCCCCTACAAGATCTGGAATCGAAATCATTATACTGAGTCTCAAATTGCTTTGCTGTTTAGAAAATAGCTGTAAAAGCCACTGGTAAAATGGTTCCCTTCATCATCCCACTGTGAGGTCGACATAAATGGTAACTGCCTTCTATAGCTTCCATTAATTCTCTAAGCTCAAATGGCAGAGAAGTGTACTATGGATTCCAAGATCCCAGCCCACTTGAGGGAGGACCAGTGAGTGGCAAGGCAGGAACAGCCCCCTCACATCAACTTAAGTTTAAAAAAATGCACTAAAAACTTAAGTTGATAGAACATTAAAAGGGCACAAGTTAGGAAGTATCAAAAATTAATGGGGCCCTTGCTATTCTTGATGTGAGAATCTTGAGATCAGAACCTTTGCCGGGTTAATTGTGCACTTCAATTGATTTCAAACAGCTACATGTGCAAAGTAATAATCACACTTAAAAAAATTCAACCAGCTATAGAGCTGGAAAATGAGTTCTAACTTTATAGCTGGTTTCTATCCAGCTTTAATTTTCACATGTAGCAGCATCTCCTGCTGTGGCTGGAAGCCCCACTGGCTGACAGGGCTCCTAGCTGCAGGGATGCACCATGCACAGTCGGCGCTGGGAGTCCTGCAGCTGAGGGGACTCTCAGCCCCAGCAGCACCCCACGGCTGCCAGAATTGTGAGTCCCGCAGGTGTGGACTCTAGGTCCCAGCAGTGCCTTGGTAGGACTGCCGGGACCCAGAGGCCACACCTGCAGGACTCCTGGTCCTGGCAGCATTGTGGTGCTACCATGGCTACAAGCCCCATCAGCTACGGGACTCACAGCTGTGGGAATGTTCTACTCGCTGGTGCAGAGGGAACCCAAAATGGCAATCCTGGGTTCTCACTTTACTGGCAATAAGACGCGATAGAATCTGATGCAGGATCCCACAGTCACGCCTTCTGCCATGCACATGTGGATTACACACCATGCCTTTATCTGAACATCTATAGGGACTCAGAGTCTTTAGTTTAGAGGGGCTATACCTGCCCATTTAATGTCATGTCCCACAGCAGAGATCAGGGGAACTTCAAATGTCAACTGAAGTGTAGGTGTCCACATTGTACCAGTGTCGAAGGAGGGCATGTCACGGAAAATATACGAACAATCAACTTTAGAAACACAGTTCTGGAAGGTAAGTAACTACTTCTGCTTCTTTGAGTGCTTGTCCATATATATATATTTCACTCTTGGTGGCTCAAAAGCAGTGACCTGAATAGAAAGGTTGGAGCTTACAGGCTTCTTAAACAAAGACTGCAGCCAAAAGAAGCATCAGACTTATATGCTGCCACAGGGGAACGATGTCTCAACATGTGTACTGAAATTCAAGTAGCTGACCTGAATATCTTTGGTATCAGCATCCTTCTCAGGGGAACCACACAAGGTGTTTGCACTTGAAACTGCAGTGGAACCTAGCTAGCTAGCTAGTATCAGGTATTACTGGAGGGAAAACCATTTTGAAAGTCTCTGGGTCAATTTAGCCTACCACTTCAACGTGCTAGCATGTATCCAAAATCCTGGAGAGATTCCAACAGCTTGACTATATAGAAAAATTGTAAGTGTCCTCAGGACATTTACAGGGGATAGTTTATAGTAAATGGATCATTTGGTTCATCTGAAAAAATTGGTGATGATCCTAATTAAGAAGCTGGGATGGGCTTAAGGGTAAATTTATCTAAAGGAACAAAGACGGTGTACAGAGGGCCTAAGCTCTGTAATGAAACAGATCCTATTAGATTTGTGAAATGCTGCACTGACACAGCTACACTGCTTCAGATTTGGAAACAAGCATGTGCAAAGCTTAGCACAGCGTGGCACAACAAGATCATATAGGCATACCCCAAAATTCCCTGCCAAGTGACAGTTTTTGGTTTCAATCTTGGTCTGTAGCTCCCTCCATATAAAACGGGGTTAAGACCTCCCTCCCTCACAGGGTACCTTATCAAAGGGACCCAAGGTACGACTGCACGGGCAGTCTTAATTCTAGCATTTACTAATGGAATGCTTGATTCTGCAATCCTAAATTCATGGCTTTTTCCATGGAATATGCATATAATTATATAACACCTCATAACCCCCAAACCCAATGCTTTATCATCAGTAATGTAATAAAAATAAAAAGCAACCAAAAAAAGGCGAGTCTACATGAAGGATTAGTTTCAGAGCCCATATAAGGAACTTAAACTGCACTGATTACCATATAAATCAGAAACCTTGCAATCATTGAAACTGTATCTCAGTTTGACATTTGAATGTTCTTCAGGTCTTTCAATCTATCAGCCTAAAATGCAAGATGTTTGCTTCAGAACATTTCTTAAGTCTTTAGTCTAGTTTAATGAACCATTAAACTACATTTCAGAGATCAACTGAAAATTGGACACTGGAGTGATTTTAGACTTCCATTAAGTATTTTTTTTCTTCCTTCAGTAGTGATTTGCTATACGGAATAGTAACTCACTTCACAACTCAGGTAAGAAGAGTTACTTGGATTTCAGACTACTCCAAAAGTCTCCTTACCCGACTGGTATTTTTTGAAGCCCTCCCTTCCTGTTTCATGTCCTTGTGACAAGATATTTAGCAGAATTCACAGATTTGGTTGAAATTTGACAGGGCCGTGCTGTGAGCACGTCTGCTATGGCCTTGAACTTGCAACCTCTGGGCCGTCAACTAAGCGCCTGCAGAACCCCAGCTCCTTTTTTTGAAGCAAAACTGCAGTTTACACTACATGGTCCCCAACCAAATAAGGTTAAGCAGGACTCTGAAAAAGGCAATTAACCTATGAAACACGACTCACTTTAAGATTCTGTGCAAAAATATTCAACTACTGCTGCAAGTATGTATTGTCTGGCCAATGCAGGTCACATTTATTATGACAGTTAGGAAAGAAATCACTGTGGAGGCCCAGGGGAGTTTTTCACAGGAGGGGAGGGGCTCAGGGAACCATATCACAACAGCCATAGGAATGTAGTGGAAACAATTCTTGTATTAGGAGGGTAGAAAAAGTACCTTGTTCCCATATGCTACCAAAAATATTCCTCTATCACTCAAAAAATATCTGCCATGCAATGGAAGAAGCACAGGGTTCTGTATCTTGGATTTGCAATTATGGCATTGGTTTGGGGTGTAATAATGAGAACAGATCAACTGAGGATAGGGAGCTGCAAACCTCCTGAACCAAGAAACTCAATTCCTCAGTCTGACCAATTCTGTAATTCCTAAATGTACAGTGAAGAGGGAGTTATTTAAAGCTTCGTGCAGCAAGATCTCTCCCAAGCTAGTTGCAGACTGCGACATAAACAGCCTGCCCCAGCTCTGCTCATCTCCCAAATCTGCTAGTCTGTTATATAGTTATTAAGCAAAGTGAAAGCATTAGCATTTACATTGCTTTGTGCACTGGTATTTGAGAGCCAGCAGTGAGCACAACTTAAAATGAAACTCAATTAATAAAAAGTTACCCTTCCAAATGAACATTTTTGCCCACTAGTAACACTTGAGACTACTAAAAGAGATAAAATAATATCTCTGTTTGGAGGCAGGTAAGGTTCTGGGGTAACTGTGCATTTCACACCACATCAGTTTTTTTAAATCTAGTTTCAGTGGTTTGGGGTTTTTCACACAGCCAAAATGCCAAAATGGATCTGACTGGTGGTCTGTCTATTCTGGTACAGAATCTATGACAGTAGTAAGATGCTTCAGACATAGGGTCTCTGCAGGATTCAGTTGTGAGATAATTTGCCCGTGTGATGTTTTTCCTACTCTCCACCAAATTAGTGGTTTAATTACATGCTGACTGATTTACACAATGATTTTTATTCTAGCCTAGGTAACTTTTGTTACTTTTATAAATATCTAAATAGCTACTGAATCATACTGTTTTTTTGACTGATAATGTTTTTCCTTTATGTTTCACAGGTTTAATGACATAATTATGCACTTATATATTTGCACATTCAGGGTTTAAAAAGAGAACATATGATTTCTAATCTATCTATGTTATTGATCATAATGTGCTGATGATACTTTTATTGTTTCTTGTGTTTTATTAAAGTTATAGTCTTTACTGTATCAATATTTTATTTCAGACAAAGTTGACAACGTTATTAAAACAGAATATCTATCAAATATAACATCACGTTGTGGTAATCTTACTTAGCAGTGGTCTCAGTGGCTCATAATTTTAAAACTCTGTAGGATTCCTTATATGCACCATATATCTGGCATAGTTTCCATCCACCCATCAAAACTTACAGAAACTAAAGGCAGTTTTGTAAACATATCTATGCTAGTTAAAAACTAAAAAAAACCCCCAACATAAGGCTGTCAACAAACCGTACATATGTTTTAATTTTTTTAATGTATCACAGACATGACTCAAAATCATGTTGTGTACTTGAGTGACCTATTATTTTTTCACAACAAATCGCTCCACGTTATGTGAAGAATAACCTTTTTTAAATACAGAAAAATATGTATAATCTATTCCCTTAGAAGTTCAATGAAAAACTATTACAAGATATTTTTAAAACATATGGAGATTGTCTGCATCAAAATGCTTGGAAGATACCTGATTTTCTGGTGCAGACTGATACTAGTTCTGCTCTCTGTTTCACTGAAAAGAATAAAGATTATTTTTCTCACCTTTTCTATGTGTTGTTTGGATTGGTAACAAACAGGAAACTTAACTATGGTGGGCTGTTGAGATTTGTTCTTACCTGTCAACTCTTGCTCATCCATTTTAAAGCATGATGGCTTCATAGACATCTCTAGAACTCTGATGCACCCATCATCTGATGCCAAAATCACTTTATCTGATGTACACCAATCTACATCCAGTATTCGGAAGTTGACATTTCTCCCACTTCTTAAACTGCTCACCATCTGTACCTTGAAACAATGAGCCACTTTTCAGCAAGGATATTAGTTACAACTGGCAAGATTCAGTGCTGTGATTCCATAAGGGAGGGGTTTTCAACCTTTTTTAATAAGTGTGCTCCCGGCAGCGAGACACAGAGTCGAGGGGTGGAGGGTGCCATGCGACTTGACGCTGAGTGGCAGCAGTGTGGGGTGGTGGGTGGTGGCAGTGGTCACTGCATGTGAGCATCACCCGATCAAGCTGGCCAGGCAGCGCCTGTGCAGCCTGCAGAGGGGCACTGCTGCCCTCGCCCTGGCCCTGCTCCTGGGAGGCGGTGGTGCGGGATGGTGTGTGGCAGCGCTTCATCCCCACCCACCTGCACATACCCCCTTGGGCCTTCCCAAGTAACCCCCAGTTGACAACCCTTGCCATAAGGCACATCACACGATTAATAAAAGGGAACAAAGGTATCCTTAAAGCCATCTTTGCATCTCCCTGGGCTGAAAAGACCCCCTAGTCTTTGCAGGACGTATGAGGCCATCCTGCAGAGAAAGCAAAGGAGCTACAATGTCATCTAAAATGCATAAGGACTTTGGCACGTGTGATTGGAATGAGGAACACAAAATTGGAAGAGGCCTCTGAGCCCATCAGGTCCAGTCCCCTATATTCACAGAAGTCACTAATCCAAGGAAACCCCATGTGTATGTTAAGACTTTTGTATAACAAAAAACCCACTGAGGTCCTAAAAAGAGGTAGAGAACTACCAGACAGAAAAGTAACAAGAGATTACAAAGATTTCTCAAATCCAGTTTCTAGAAGATCAGACTAAATGGCTGTACTCTGTCTGGTCTGGAGAATGCATGGCACTACAGCCCGCATCTCTTCATGTAGAATCATTTATCCCTAGTCAATGTCCTATCTATGAATGTACAGAAGAATAAAACTCCAACTACCTACATAAGATGAATGTGAGATTTTTTAATGAGATTTTTCCCTCTAATATAGGCTTTTCTGCAGAAAAGGAGAAGCAAAGATAAAGTTAATTCTCAAACATCTGACTTTCATGTATCCCCAAAATACATCAAAACCAAGTCAGGTCAACTTTGCCATTTAGTATGTCTAGATATTCACAGAAGCTTGTTAAGCCTGGAAAGGAAGATTTTGTATTTCTGCACTGGAGCCCAAAAACATTTTTTATGCAAGCTGCAACCCAAAAATCACTAGGAGAGAGTGATGATAAAATGGTATTTCAATAAAGTGTCAGCTGTATGAGTGAAAGGCACTTTTCAATTGACAGCAGCTTGAAAAAGCTTTCTGGGGACGTAAACATCTTTTGTGAAAAGACCAGACACCTCTATTATATAGCTGTCAGCAACAGCTCGTGTATAATTTTAACCACATTGTTTGTGTGCCTGACCTTACCTTGAGAAGTAGGTTTATGTTTTGTGCACAAGTAAAAACAGATGAGAAATGGATGCATACCTCTTTTGCATCCCAAACTTCAGCTCCATCATTGAACAAGGATATCAGTTTTTGGTTTCCTTTTCCAGGGGCAAAGCGTATTTTTCTCACCCAGCCTCGGTGGGTAGGGATCCCCCTGGGGGCAAAAATAACTCAAGTTTTAACCTCATTCTAATCTACACAGAGAGATATGAGCAGTTGATATAAATTTTCTTTCAAACATTCTACGTTTTGATACTTCATAACTTGTAGAATTAATATTCCATGTATATATAAATGGATGACTAGCAAAAATATCATAAAAAACTTTTAAGTGAGTTGTGTTAGAAAAATCTCAGAATATTTAATATGACAAATATTACAATCCTTTTCATTTTAACTATTTTTGTTTAGATTAAACCAAGCTAGTCAAATATTCAGCTGGGACAAGTCACCAAGGACTCACTGAAATCAACACAAATATACTATTCACACCAGCTGAGAGCACCACCTCTCTTTTGTTACAGATCAGCACTGCCTGAGTAGACACTATTTGAGAAAAATTTTCATGTTAAAGATAGAAGCTTGTTCTCTCTGCTGCTAGATCATGGCAGCCTTCTGCAAATATAAAGAAAAATCTTCTGCCATCCATTCACTCTATAAGAAATGGTAAGATTTTATTCTCTCATACCTGGATACTCTAGCTTTTAAATCCCAAAAGTTTAAGTTTCCATCAACATCTCCGAGAACCAGGGTATCTCCTTTCCACGCAATACAAGTAATACTTCCCATGTTTCCCTGCAGAAGAAAATGATATGGTTAAAAGCATTCTGCACAGGTAAACATTTTAATACCGATACTGCCCATTACTTTCCAATGTTAAAAAAAAGCTAATAAGCAAAATCTGCTTGTGGCTCCAACAAGGCAATTCTACTGAGTTTACTGGAGGACTCCCGGCTCAGAAAACAGAATTTCTCTCAAAATATTTATCTAGACTTCTTAAACTGAATGAAATACTGTCTTACAGCTTAACATTTAGTTTTATAAGAAATGTAAAACATTTGTGTGTTTCTATTTTCATGTTAGCTCCTGTGTGATAGGACTCATTCTCAAACACCCAGAGAACTAATGCATACTATCTAGGAAATACAAACACCAGGATTTCAGTTTGATAGAAGTTAGCTGAGTTTTCATACTTGATGCAAAAAAATAGCTGCCCTTCAGAGAAAACCAAAACAATTAAAGCTGACAAAATAACTCTTATCCATTACAAATCTGTAGTCAACTCTTCTCTATTGCAATTCATGATCTGAGGCCAGTGCCATGGGTTACTGCTACTGTTCAAATGCTTAACTAAATAAAAGAGAAAGTTACAGCAAAATCAAGTGATATAACAAAACCTGCATATAGTGTTTAGTGTTCAAAGACAGGAAGTTTAATTTAACATGACAAAAACAATATAAATGTTTCCTGTTGAGCAACTTGGGCTTAAGTATAAGAACCATGATCATAGCAAATGTGTAGCCCATATAACATGTTTCCCAATAACTGCTCCCTAGAAAAGGGAGGAATCAAGATGAAGAATGCAGGCGACTGGATTTAGATTCAAACTCACAAGACTTGGGTTCAATTCTCTCCTTAGCCACTGACTTACTGTGTGATCTTGGTCATGTCACTTAGATGCACCTAATGTAGACTACACTAAGTCCTCTTGGGAGACTGCCCCTTGAACATCTCTGGCCCCATGTTCACACTTGCACATGAAAATCTGGAGAGGAGGCTACTACTCTCAAGCATACCAAACATAGACATAGTGAGAGATGCCGCATAGGATGCAGTTTCAAATAAACCTATGTTAAATCCATGATCGGAGAAAGCTAGCTGCATTGTTTGACATTGTAAATGCAAATGCTTTAGGGATTCCTGCATCACTGTGAGGAGCTGCCACAAGCAGGAGAGTTATTTGCAGTTTGCTCTATTCTCCAAGGTGCCTTCTTCACTACAATAATGGAGTCAGGGGAGCTACTTATCAAAACGGCAGAAGTTTGCTGTAGAAGGGACTGTGTCCTTTTCTGCAAACTGTGACAAATGCCAGGAACACAGAGAAGCCTCATCTATAAATTCTGTCTCTGTTATCACCACTTGATGATAACAAAGTTTTGATTACAAGTGTTTTTTAAAGAAGTAGTGTGAAGCCTAATGCAGAGCTTCTTTAATTTCCTTGCTCCACAACAGAAACCTCAGAGGATGTTTATGGACAGTAATAGTGAATATCTTTTAGTTATCTTCTCCTACCTATAATAGCTCTCAGCTTTTAATAGTTCTCAGCTTTACTCTATATATGCTATAATAAACAGCTGTTTTCATATTCTGAAGTAAGCGTTCTCAGTCTGTTATTTCATAATGCAACGTCTTTACAGATTGATTCATGGTGCTGTATTCCCCCACTGACAGCAGCATCTCCCTCTGTCTGTGAGAGATGCATAGAAAAATAATTTTACAAAGTAGTTACAGGTTTTTCTAATAATAACAATTACAAGGGGAAAACGAGGAGTATGTATCATACATCCTATCAAATTTTCATGTGCCTTTTATAAATAAATGGCAATCAACAGGCCACATTTTATTACTATTATTCAAAAGTTACCAAAAGAAAACCACACTTCAAATCTTAATCCATAACCAAATTTGTGTCATTTGCATACCTCAAAAAATAGCCCATGGATTGTGATCCTGTAAATTTCAATTAGCATTCATTTTCGTATATGCTTTAAACTTAAACCATTAATCAGAAAACCTCTCAACACATCATTTTTAAGAAAGTTAATTTCCAAAACAATTCTGATCTAGAATGTATTCAACAGTTACATCTTCTAGTGAGCACTTTTGGGTAGATCACAATGGAAATGGAAAGCATTTATAAATATTTTCCCCACAATCAAATCTGTCGTTCTCACTGATATATTTAAGAACTGCTGAATAAATTAATATATATAATACATAACATGCAATAGGACTACAAGTGTAACATTTACAATATTGTGATCCCATATCGCCATGTCATATATTTACATATGAGGCATTTGTGTTTTTCTCCTGTTATATAACCAGAGATACTTGAAAAGACAGAGGTTTCCTGAAATGTTATATAGATAATATTTCATGAAGATAACATAATATTTCAGTAAAGCTCTGTCTTGACAAACAACTCTGGTTATGTAACAGGAGCTAAACAAATGTAGTTTATAAATTTTGTACCTACAGTCTTAGAAATATGTAATTTTGTACTGAAACACAAGGAGAAAAAGAAAAAAACACAATAGAGCAGCAATTTTTCTATTATTTCCTCTCTCCCCCTCCTTCTTGAAAAACCATCCTTGTCAAGTAGTCACTTTTTCAAAAAGCTGCCACTATCTCTGAAAAACAGCTGACCTGCCATATTGAACAGAAGGCTTTTTGCAACATCTTGATTGCTGGCCAATTCAAAGAGAAAAGGAGAACAAAATGAATAAAATTTTACAACTATAACTTAAATATTTTGAGGTTTATTGGAGGAGATGTGCCAAATGGAGAAACCTGGAGGTTTTGATATTACAAGCTGTGCTTTTTAAGAAGTAGCCTTAAGCCAAATACAGAGCTTCTTTAAACAGAAATGGATATAAACACCAGCAGGGCAAATTCACTTAACTGTTTTAGCAAGGATGACTATTCCTTTCCTCGAGAAATTCAACCACTTTAGGAGTAGCAGGAGACTTTGTGAAAGTGAACTCTGGTTTCAACTCTTGGCAGAGCACAACTTGCCACCTGTGCCCTATGATGTTTGGCAACTGGCCACTAGAGGGTAACCTGAGAATGTCATAGGACATCCATAGGTATGGGAGGTATACCAAGAGACCAAGGATTTATCCACTGTATAAAAGTTTTTATGGACTTAAATGTTTATTGTACCAAAAGAATAAGAACTGCCTCTTGTACCTTAGGATATTATTCTGTGCTGCATGCCCAGGCACAACTCTCATTTGCTGCAATAATGGGCTGTTATGTAACACAGAATTGGCTTTTACTAACAAAAGGGGGATCAAAATATGAAAGCCTGCATCTCAGAACACCTTACAAATGAAAATAAAAATAAGAGCAAAATTCACTGAGTGTCTGTTTCAAATACTAACTGTGGAATGATTAGCTTTACCATTCTGTGCTGGGACAGTAAATTTATAACTAAGCAACATAATGAAGCCTTGTCTCAAAGTAGAACCTACACCTCTAATATCTCCCCTATTAGAAACACCACTCTATGTATTTAACGTAAAATACTTCATGATAGTTAGCATTACATGATGCTAGCATTCATAGCCTCTGAAGGATTTTGCTTTCCTGTGAAGGAATTGAATAAGTAGCAGCCACTACTAGAAATCATCAGTCAATAATCTGAGCTAGTCCTGAAAACTGTATGACCCATTGTTATGGTTGATGCACTGATAACAATGTGAATGAGAAAAAAAGACTACTCCCGAACCATAACTTTTTTCCTTTCTTTCTAAAAATTATATAGTCCCACTGAGCTGAAGACTAATATATATGAAGTTATTAGTGCATACATACAGGATCAGGCCCAAACATTAACATTAAATATAATCTACCATTTAAAGAGTTATGGTTGAATAGTTAAAATTACAAGTCACGCAGTGCAGAAATTAAGGTAATAATACACATTCGGTCTAACTGTGCTGTTAGAACCTAAAACCTAGGGAGGAAATGCAAAAATAAACAATGCAACAACCTTAATGATCCATGGGGTTTGTTTTTGTTGCCTCTTTTTTTTTTTTTTTTTTTTTAAGAGGCAAAAGAAATTACATTAATTTTGATGCAATATTTCCCAATTACCACACACTTTATTGTCTAGTTAGGTCTAATAAAAAAGTAAAAGTAATAAATATTACAAGAGGGCTAGGATTTGACTACACTTAGCTTAGAAAAATGGCAGCTAACCACAGATACACATCAGTAGTTCACTTCTAAAACCACCCCTTCCAAAACAGAAAGCATCTTAGGAGTGTTTTTTAAACATGATTTTAAGTGTTGCTACCCACACTAAGCATCAGTATTAATGTCCTCTGATAATCATATTCATTCCATACTTGAAACTGAATTTCTGCTGGTTCTGCTCTCCTCTGTAAGAGAATTTGCTCTCTTTGCATCCATATTCTAATTGTGGAAATAATGGAAACAATTTTGCAACCCTGCTAATAGCTATCACTAACAGAAGCCCAATATAAACATGGTCAAAAAAGTTTCCTCTCGTGCATAGGGGAAACTAACATTTTCTTAAGTTAAACATAATAGATGCAGTAGATATGTGAGTCTAATAAAAAGACACAAAGCCACAAAAATTCCACAGCAAATAAAAGTAATTATTTATTTTGCTGATGTTATTTCCATAAAGCCTAAAAAACTTCAGCTGCTGTCTACAGCATTTCTCTGAGATGTATTACGCAAAAATGAGATGCAGTTGAAAAAAAATTTCCACTGTTCCTTCCAAATAAATAAACTGCTTACATAAACTAATGCATTATTGCAAAGCTGAAAAGAAACATTATTTTACATAAACAGGAACTTTCATTTGTTTTGCAAATGCAAGTTTTGTTTCTATTTCCAATCACGGATTTTGTAAATATTTGCCATTAAAATGTATACTCCTAATAATTATAATAAAATGTTATTTTCTGCAACAATAGCTATGAAAACAAATTAAAGACCCAATTATATAGAAATATTGAACTTACATCAGGAGGAATTCTTGCACTGTCTTTTACCGAGTTTCCCTCTACTGTGAGATAATAAATCTGCCCATCGGTATCTGTAAACACAAAGTGCTCTCTGGCAGAAATGTTCTGACTCAGCTCAGATTTACTTTCGGCCTCCTGTAATAAGCTTTAGGAGAAATGCAGAGAGTCAAAGGTAACCCTTTTTTGTTCTTGAAACACATAGAAGATCAGATTTCCCCAATGAATCAATGCATAAAAATGCAGTAGTATGAAAGAGGATGTTTCTTCAAAAATGGTTCTTTCTACTCAAATCCCCAAACAATAATTGACTTCTACCCTTATAACAGTAACCAAGTGGCAAAAACTAATTTTACCCCAAGGGGCAGATCACTAAAGGGTACTGCCAATGCCTGTTTGGAATAAATGAATATTTCTCATGCTCAGCAGAAGAATCCAAGGTTGATGTGTAAGGACCAGACCCTAGCCCATTCACTGACTTTTCTATGCACTGCTAATGGTAAATAGTCTGTGAAACTGCTCTCCCAGGGCACCCAGCATTTAGCAGTGCTAGTCTGTGCCAATACATAAAAAGAGCACCTTTATATAGGAATGCAGCCCATAGGACATTGTGATGGGCAGTACCTGATAACAGAAGATTCCACACTAATAAGTTCTGTATCGGATGCAACCGTCTGTCGGGCCATCGCTTCACGGGCTGCAAGCTGTTTTTTTCTTAAACTCTTCAAGTTATGGGAAGGTGACCATTCCTGTCAGCATTTTTAAATAGGAAAAATTGGAACAAGTGTTTCTCACTATCTAGAATTACAGGTTAATTATGATTAAGCTAATTATATATTGCTTCTATAATATATATTTGAGATTGAACCAGTTTCTAAAACAGGATGCTTTCATTTACAGATTTTCCTCGCCAACCACGGTTTTGCCAACCAGTTTTGAGTATCCATGCTTAATATTCTATATACCATTTTGGCTACCGTGGGATAGTTTTGAGTAATCAGAGTTTTCTGTGGCTGCGCATCAGCCTGCCACCTGTCATTTTTCCCATAAGCCTCTTGTCTTGCCCACCACGGGAACTTTCAGAAACCTAACCCCAGCAGTTGGCGAGAGAAACTTGTATAATCCTATTTTGTAAGGGTAGTTGGAAAAAATACGAAGTTTGGGTAACAATACTGGAGAAATAAAACCCACCAACCCAATTCGTAGCAAAATATCCATCAGAGTATTTCAAATTATACTTATAAATTAAATTGACATTTTAAGGGAGAAGGTAAAAGAATAGATTCCTTACCAAAGCAGTCACCACAGGGAAGTTTTTTGGCATTTCTCTAAGAAGAGTACATGTCCTCACATCCCAGATTTCCAGAGGTTTGTCTTTAAATACTACAGCTAGGTACTGCCTGAAATGAATGAGCCCTTTCTTATGTCAAAAATATCCAGTTAAAGAAAAAAAAAATCACTTTAATTTCTGTTATTTTATTTTATATATTTTCTTCCTGTCACCATGGCAGGCACAATTTACTCTAATGGCAGGAGGTGGAAAGAGAGGGAGCGAACACAAATTCAGCAGATCCTGGTCCTCCAATACAATTTGTGGAGTTGGATGTCTGCACTCACATAGGAGCCCACTGAATTTCCTGGAGACCTCAGTGAGTCTAAATGGAATTCTTTGTAGGATCAGGGCCTTACTGATCAAATTAACTAAAACTTCTGGCACTATGTGGAAGAAAGACTTTGAGGAAAAAAATATTAAGTGCTCCATTTTAGCAGCTTTCAGTGAGTTGACATTTAGACAACCACAGCATGCCAGCAAGAGAGGCCAAGATTTTAGTTTGGACAGAGGGAGAAGGGTTGAGAGAGAAAGAGAACTGCAAGCCAGAAAAAAAAAAGAAGTTCTCACCACAGGCCTGTAGTAAATGATAAAGAATCTTACAGCAAAGCATTTGCCAGGTCTGCTTCCCAAGGAGCCACTCTTAAGGAATTTCCTGCCGTCAACCTTTAAAGGCTGATTAACTTGCAATACTCTGTCCAGACTCAATTACTTTCCCTAAGCCCATGGGAAGCATCTTTAGAATTAACTCCTTGGTTTCTGGCCATCAGAAAATGCTTTTTGATACTGGAAAGTGATTTTTTATTGACAGGTATAATTATTTTTAGCATGGAATTGAAATATTTGACATTTCTTGTATGTTATAATCAAAATGCTGTTAAGTCTATCTTCTAAACTAGGCGGCATCAGAAACTGCATTTACTTTTCATTATTCACCTTCCTTTGTTTTCATCTAATAGTTTACCTCTTCAGTCTGAGCACACACTTGTTATTAATTAGTAATGGACTGTGGTCACAATTATAGGGCCAAACTATGTTAACTGCTGTGCAAAAAATACAGGACAATGTTTTCAAAAGTCAAAAACTGCTTGCCATATAATACAGAAAAAGGAGGGAATGCAATATACACCAGGATCTTGGAGTTGGGTACAAGAGCAGCTCTTTTCATATTTTTAATGGTTATTCCATTGAATCTAAGGCTATTTAAATTATTTTTACAACAAAGTAGTCTTATAAATTATGTATTACTTGTACTAAGCATAGTGCCTAGGAGCTCTTGTTATAGACCAAAAACCCAAGTCAGTGGGATGTAAAAGAAAAAAAAAATTGGCCCTTTCTCTTAAATGGCTTTCACATTAGTTTTACTTTGCCTAAGCCAACTGCTGAACATTTATGAAAAGGTAAGACCAAGCTTTCATTAGTCAATGTGTGAAAAAATACTATTTCATCCCTAACCAAAACCCTCTGGCTGCATCCAGATGAGCAGGGCAATGCGCTTGCAGTGGCACAAACAGTAGCAGTGCAAACCTGTGCATCTACTTTGTGCCGCCACACATGCCCCTGCACGTGCCTTTTGTTGTGGGCTGTGCCCAGCTCATCCTGGCCAGACTCCATGTGCCGGGGGGGGGCCTTGGCTGGGGTACAGCACATGAAGATGGGGGAACAGGCAGCCTTGAGCTCTGTGTACTGCAGAGCCTCTTTGCTGAGGCCCACTGTGCCCCAGGCAGCCGCAGAGCAAATTAGCAGCTCCACACACGGTTTAACATGAAATACATGCAGTTTGTGGTGCCACAGAGATTTGTGACACCATAAACTGCACATGCTAGCACATGTGGACACACCCTCTGATTTTATATTAAAGCTAAGATCATATAAAGAGGATCTTGAAATCCCTGGAGAACCCCAAACTCGGCAAACACTCATTTTCCATTGACTCAAGCCTTAAAAATGGCAAGTTATCTTCATATCACTATTAGAATAATAACCTACCACCTAGGCCAAGTACAGACATTTGAGAGATTAAATCAGGTTCAAAATGGCTGCCTGATTTAAACTTAGCTTGTCTCAGTGCCAACCTTACACTTACAGACCTGGTCTCAGTGACTGGCAATCAGCCTAAACCTGTAACTGAACAGAAGGTCCAAGCACACAAGCCAGTCTAAAAACTGAAGAACCCAGTTTAAGATAAACCTGGATCTATGTAGTATCAGGCTCATTTGATTTAAGTCAAACTGGTGCAAGGAACTTCTGCCACTTGTCGTGCACAGGAAAACCCAGCCACAGGCCCGGGGCTGCTCTTTTCAGTCCCCCACTTCCCTAGCACTGGACTATTTTTTGCCCACTCCCCCAGCTAGTGCTCTTGACCCCCATCCCACAAGCCATTCTGGATGCGTTTATCAGCATTCGCCACTGCCAGGGCTGAGCAAGTAAGTCCTGGTGAGGGGAGGAGCAGGAGGAATGGGGGTGTAGGTTTGGTGGGGGGGGGGATCCCACCCCAGCCCTTGCAGGTCATGCCTGCTCCCCAACTCCACCCACAGGTCATGCCCACCCTCCTGCCCTCGACTTGTGGGTCATGCCTGCCCCTTATCCCCTGGTAGAACCCTGATTCCCTCAAACCTGCTGGACACCCAACCAACCATCTAACCATCTCCTGCATCTTGACTTACCTGGTATCAAGTAGCCATTTTGAATTGATTTAACTTCCCCCTAATGCCTGCTAAGATCTACACTTAGCCCTACTGTTTCAAAAATCTAACCTGACTCTAAAATGTGTCCTACTAGTCCTTGTTGGCTCGTATAAAAAGCTCACTGCCACAAACCTGGTAGTCTAACACAGTAGTATCTCCCTTGAAGCACTTGCAAATACTTTTACGCTCACTTCTTCTGGAGAGTCTTTTCTTGGAGCTGGTTTACTTCTATCGTTTTACAGAGATCTTCAAAAATTCAATATACTGTACGAGCTTACTTACTTCAAATGAGACACCTTTATCATTTCAATGGCTGGTTCATCATTGCCTCGTTCCCCACGGAATGCAATGCTCCTGCCTAGAAAAGAGAAGTTTATATGGGTAGAAAAAAAAATCCCATGGAAATAAAGCCACTGTATAATTGAACCGCCACTTCCCCCACTACTCTATCTGAGTAACGGTTCAGTTTTCATTCGCCTTCTGGGCACTAAAACAAAGCAGTTTCCACTGCCTGACATAATATAGTCCAATAGACTCATTTTCAGAGCTGAGCTACTGAAATTGATACATGATTGTCATTACCAAAATACAGACAAGTAGAATTAGGAGAGTTATCAGAATTTGGGCTCAGAGACGATAACATTTCAGATATAGCTTCCTCCTCCTCAAGGAGGAAATCTTGAATGAATGGATTTCAGTTTTTTGTTAAGAGAAACGTATTCTGCCCCAGCATCTTATTTTTTTTTTGGATAGAGCAATCACCCAAAAATGACTTGTTAACAACTCCTTTGCTGAGCTCAATCATTGACTCAATCATTGATGGCTTTTCAAACATAAGATTGGTCAGTGCTAGACAGCAATACTGAAACTCTCTGTCCTATCTCACTGATAAACAAGGATCTGGGTTTTCCATTCACCACAGAAAAACGTGGATTTTCCCCTTTTAAGGAGAAAAGCACGGGAAATGGCGGGTTTCCCTTTGCAGGCTGGCACTCATATATATAAAAATCATGCAACAACACAGATGTTGGGGGTTTTAATCAGAGAATTTTGGATTATTCATCAGAGAATTTGCATTTTAAACAGAGAAAACCAGGATCCCTGCTGCTGATGAAGAATGTCTTGCATTCAAAAGCTTGTTTAACTTTACCCCAACCATGCAGTTGGTGAAAAAAAAAAAAAAAAAAAAAAAAAAAAAAAAGACATCATCCACAATGATCCTTTCCCTATCTCACAAAAACATTGCCATGCCTTTACAACTGTCATTTAGTATCAAAAACTTTAAAAAACGGTTTAAATAAAAATAATACAAGTTACTCTGGAGTAGCCAAATGCCTCAAACTTTGAAGCTTCCTTAGCCTGACGAAGGGTTTTTGAACCCGAAAGCTTGCTTTATAACTATTCTCCAACCATTTGGGTTGGTCTAATAAAAGATATCAAATTCACCCAAGGAACCTTGTCTGCCTATGTCCTTACACCAACACGGCTACAACCCAAACCCCTCAAACTTTGAGAGGTATTCCATCAAATTAAGTAAAAAATTCTTCTTCAGTTGCTTTCCCTGTGGCTGCAAGCTTCCAGCATAGCCAAGTAACCCATCATGGACCAGGCATATAAACTTTTCAGTGCTAATCAGGCAGACCTTTGGCAGAAGTGCTGCTATGCTGAAAATTAAACTCGTTTTTTTCTTAACTGAGCAAACATCTTTAGATTTTTTTTTTTCTCCACATTCAATATTTATGTCCAAGAAGTATATAACAGATCCTTCACCAAACATTTGTGACTGGATGTAACCTGGCTACACTTTTTCATAGTGCTCAGTTTGACTGTGAAACCAAGTTCAAGCCAGCTATTCTACCAAGTTGCTAAAAGAGGCAAGAGGGAAGGTTAACTAATTGTTAACATTTGCAAAAATACTAGGTAACTGGGCTGCTATGGAAATGTTGGGTCTCTTATTTCTTGATTTTATAAATGTCAATGTCATCATTTAGGTTTCTAAAGAATGTCATTTAAGAGAATCTAAACGTACATCTTATTTTAAAATGACACAAATGTATGTTTATGATTTTTACCTCCTTTCTATTCTTTTATTTTGCAAGGAAAATAAAAGGCAAGATCAAGTTTAAAAAGCTTTTTTGTGCAATACCTTAGAAGTAGTTATGAAAAATGAAAATTTAAACATTTTTATCTTTAAAAAAGTCACTCTATGCTATACATTGGCATTTTACAAGATGTGGGTTCTTCAAGTTGAAATGACAAGGTTTAGCTTTTTACAGCCAAAACAACATGGTTACTGAAGTATTGTGTTTCCTGTACTGTGCAACCATTGAAGTCAAAATATAAGAATGGTCTTTCAGACACCTTAATTCCCACAAGTTCAAAAGGAGGAGCCAGAAATGTGGCCATGACCAAAAACTTAATGAAGTTTATTAACTAGTTGATTAAAATATGTCATATATATATATCAGATTAAAACAAGACAACATGATAACTTCTGTTCTGTATAATGCATCTATGACTTTTGTTCATTTTTAACAATGCTTTTTAAAAACTGATACATTTCTGAAATACAATATCAGTTGATAATTTAGCATCATATGTATGCTACAAACTTGGTTTGCAAAAATCTAAAACTCTTGGTTCAGAAATGATACCTTTTATTAAACTAACTAGGAAATTGCAAAAAAAAATAAATCTCTTTTTCTGCAAGCTTTGGGCCTCAAACATCCTTCATCAGACTCTGGGAAAATTAAAGATGGTAAAAAGTCCCCACAGTTAGGAAATAAACGTCCATGAGAGTGTCTCTCTGAGTTGTTCTAAGTAGCCAACACAGCTACCAAGTACATCCCTGAAACATGGAAGATGCCGAATTGTAGCCACTTTGGGGTTTTAAACTTCACTGCAGAACAAGAGAGATTTCTAAACCTCCCTGCTTGCCATCTGACACCTCCAGGGAAGGAATCTTACCTGATCTGCACAACAAAGAGTAACTCAGAACAACTCACAGGACACTCTCATGGACCCAGAGGGACAGATTTTTCATCTCCAGCTCCCTCTGCAAAAATGAAGTTTATTTAATACTTATGAGGACTTTTTACCATCTTTAATTTTCCCAGAGCCTGATGAAGGGCATTTGAGCCCGAAAACTTGCAGAAAAAGAGATTTTTTTAAATTTCCTAGTTGGTCTAATAAAAGGTATCATTTCTGAACCAAGAGTTGTAAATTTTTGCATTCCTTTTTGTCTCAGACCAACATGGCTACCAAATACAGCCCACAAACCTTATTTTAACTTTACAATGCAGGTACCCCTCAGAACCTTGACATTCTGGGGTGTCACTTCTTGTTTCTAAAAAACTTTGATATCAAAAGTATTCAATTTTTATGAAGAATGAACTGGTTTTTAAAGCAAACTCCTGCAAACCTATAATGTGATCTGAAAATTTAGTTATATGCTGGAAACAAAGTAACAGGTTCTGCAGACCAAATTCTGCTCAGCGGCTTAGGTCTAGGCTAGAAAAAAATATCTATTGTTAACAATATACATCATCAAATGTTTCAACTGAATGTAGCATATATATATATAATTGCTTCACCGAATCATGACAAACTACGTTCAATAGAATTTCTGAAATCTGCTACGAAGGTATACTTGGAGACTGTCATATCAATGGCAATCTGAACTTCTCCTGAGCAGTCTTTTGTATTGGTCTTTATATGAGGTTAAGAAGTGTCATAGTGGCCCCTGGCAGACGTTACACTTTCATACATGATTAACCAGTCCATCATGTCTTAAGTAGTAACCCGGCTACATGTTTATTAAATTAACAGTGCAATAAAACAGGGAATGAATCATTATCATTACACAAAACGAGTGTAATAACTTTGTGGCTGGTTCCCATCATGCTAACATTTGAACATATGGCCAAGCTGATCAGCTGATCTGTGTTCCCCACATGGCAGCCTTTGCTCCAATGCCCTCCAGAGGCAGGGTGTCACATTAATCAGCTCATGAGAGTGCTCAGCCTCAAAAGTGCATCAGAGCCCTCTGTTTCAGTGCCTCTAATGCTGGCAAGCGTTAGTCACATGATCAGGACTCCCAGCCTCAGAAGCGCATTGGAGTCTCAGCTCTGGTGTGCCTCCAGGGCTGAGAGCACCAGTCAGCTGATGAGCACACACAGCCTTCAGGTTGCACCAGAGCCAAGGGCCCCAATGTCCTCCTCAGGCTGGGAGCCCCCCATCACCTGACTGGCACTCTGAGCTGGGGGCACTCAACAGGGTATGACTGGGATTGATCAACAATCTTACAATCATGCCTCCTGCCATGCATGCATAGCATGGCAAGAGGTGTGATCGTTGGGATTGTGAATCAGACTCCATCACGCCTTTAACTGAAAATCTGCCAGGGGCCACTGGGTCAGACCAATGGTTCATCTAGCTTAGTATCCTGTCTCTGATGCTGGCAGGAGTGGATGCTATAGAGGGAGAGCACTGAATTGGGTATATCTCTAGTGATCTGTCCCTTGTTCATTACCCTTCTTGGTATCCACCATCATTACTTTAGAGATACCGAAAGAAATCACTCCAACTTTAATAGCTAAATAGCTTAAAAATGCATGCTGCCCAAAAAAACATCAGCTTGGACACCTTGCAGTGGATGAAACCCTTTCCTTGACCGCTACATTGACTGCTTCAGGGAAAGAATGGACAATGAAATAATCAGCAACACACGCCACCACAACAACCTCTCTCTACCAGACAAAAAGGCCATAGAATCTCTAAGATCTAACCACCAAACAGTAATAAAACCAGCAGATAAAGGAGGAGCCATAGTCATCCTAAACCATGAGGATTACA